ATCTTTTTCAAGCTATTTTTTCTAGCTGACTGTAGCTTTGTTGAAGCTCAAAGTGTGGAAGATGGACAGAGATACTCAGTTGTGGGCAAAACACCTACGATTAGCCAGCGCCAGGGATCGAACCGAACCTCATGCTTCCCCAATAATTCTGCCAAAAATGGCCCGGTTTGAGTTAAACGGTAATCTTCCCGAGCTCCACTGATCGCGTCGAGTCGATGATGATTTCCTGGTGGATCAGAATATTTTAGTTCGTGGACCTGATCAATAGCTCCAACAAAAAATCCCTGTGCACCTAGCAGGAAGAATTTGAACTCCGCTCACCTCACAGATTCAGCCTCATCGAATTCATCATAGTGAACCGTGGTATACGACCTATTCCCCCTCCCTTACCACATCCTTCCGCGGTGGAAATGTCGATGATGTCGTTGAATCGGGTTCAGGCCGACACACTTCTAACTTTTGCCTGAAGTTTCCAAAGAAATATTCTCCCCATGTCTCACATGAAAAGAATATTTATTCCAGCCTCATCGACCACGGCCACGCCTTCCTAGAAATAACCATCCTCCCTCTTCCACTTCAGAATCATAAAAGCCTCACTCGTTCGTCAAGACGGAAGGTGACCGAACAGCTCCTTCTGAGCTGATGACGATCTTTTTGTAGGACACTGAACTTTTGGTCGCTGAGCTGTTAAGAACTCATCGAAGGATCCACAGCATGAAGTAGGAGGGTTCTGAAGTTCTATGGGGGTGTAAATGTCGCAGTGACTAGAAGCTTGCAACAAATAATGACGTTCCCTTGGATCGAACCTCGCTTGAGCCGACGAGACCACGCTCTGTTCCTGTGACAATTGATTGATAGGAGAATAAGATTAGAGAGTTAGGATGGGAATGGCCTGCAAGATTGAATCCGAACATACTCTACGTGCATTTATCCCTTCCTTACTGTAAAATCCATCTTATTTTCGAAAAAAAAAACGATAAATATTTTTCAAAAATGTAGTAACTTTCTTCGCCGAAAAGACACACATTGGGAAGAACACTGTTGAGAGCATTGTAT